ACTCTCATGCTGGGGAGAATTAGAATTAGGGAATGGATGCCAACAAATTCTCATCATCAAACTCAAAAATAGTGTTTCCTTCTGACAGACCACTCTCATGCTGGGGAGAATTAGAATTAGGGAATTGATGCCAACAAATTCTCATCATCAAACTTAAAAACCCATTTTCTTAATAAAACCAGCATTTATATACATATCTTCATCACCATTCAGTGTAAAGCCCTTCACAGGCGGAGGGTGAGGTCCATATTGGCAGAATCATCGACATCAGTGGAAGTGGAGAGAGCATCAGCAGTCGAAACGCCCACAAAGCTCCCAGAGACCGAGCTGGAAGCTACGTGCTGCTGCTGCGGCTGTGGCTGCGGCTGGATGGGCTCCAGCCACTTCTCAACAAACATGGCTGCACCCACGGGATGACACATGCCAGGAAAGTGGGGAAATGGTATGGATGAGGTGGGTTGTTGCTGTGGATAAGCAGGGAACAGAGGAAGTAGGGGATATTCGTCCAGGTTGTTGGCCGGAAAGTTTAGCCCAGCAGCAGCTGCTCGCTTGCGCTTGTGAGCTTTCTGATGGCCGGCGCGAGCTTTAGCGGTGGCAAAATCCCGGGGACAGTAGGGGCAAGGAAAACGTCCCGGAGATGAGTTGGTGGACGAAGCTGCCGCATGCTCGGTGGGTTTGGAGGCAGAAGGTTGGCTCTGGCTGAAGAAGTTATACATGGAGGGGTTTGCCATTGAAGTTACAGGGAGGGGTAGGAGGTAGGAGTGGAGTGAAGTTGGGGGTGGGGGAGACGGAGGGAGTATATTTATAGATAGAAGGAAGTCTAGGCCGGATGTATCCTCACTCTTGCAGTTGCTCACCGCTCCCCCTGAAAAGATATTCGCCTGGTGTAGACTAACTTTTTCATTTTTTCTTTCGACTTGTCTAAATCTCGACACGTGTAGACTAATAGGAAGGGCAGATGCTATTAGACATTTTTTCTTAATTTTTTTACAACTTAATATATCATTAAAATAATTTATTTTATAATTTATGTAAAATTAATAATCTTGAATATATTTATTTATTTAATAATATATAAAAATTATATAAAATTATTGGACAAAAATATAACCCCACCTAACACGTAGCCAGTATTGCGTTAAAATTGTAAGTAGACATAGATTTTGGCGTATCATACTATTATCAGACCCGCACTCGACGTCATTGTCCCACACAGCCACCCGACGCTAATTAACATGTTTTTATTGAGCATGTAACATCTTTTTATTTTAATTAATTATTATATTTTTTAATTTATTAAAAAATAAAAAATATGGTAAATAATTATATTAAAAAGATATAACATTAATATTTTTT